CTCAATCATCCACATGTGAGCACATTTGAATATTGTCTTTTCTGATGTAGGCTCGAGCAGACTTCCTGCAGGTGTTGATCCAGAGTGAGATCCCAGAAAAGACGTATAAGAACGATGAAGAACAGCCAAGTAAAGGTATGTGTTTACCACAGAAGTAATCCAGAATAACCCAGTCACCTATGTCACATTTACTTTAGACAACTCAGGATCAAGGGTTTAACACACACATTTTTCTCATGACATCAATCTGCTCATATGTCTCAAAAGACCAGTCAGTCAGTATCATATATTATAAACCAGGAGCTTGATGATAAATAGCTGAAGGGCTCTACACATCACGACGACATCCCTGTAAATATTTATAGAGCCATCCTAGCTATTGTAACATTTTTGATAATCTGGCTATAAAAAATTACATTAACCAAGTTGGATCTCAGGTCAACATGTACCCCTTCAGCCAGAATGTAAACTACAGAAGACAAGAATCAAGGTTAAGGGTGTGCATTGGTGCCAATGCATACCCTTAACTAAATGTACAGTTTCACTGAGCAACTTTTCAGCTGCCCTGTAGCACACACACCTCCTACCTCAGGTCCCAGCACATCCTTTATCAGGGAGCCATGACTGGATGATGGAGCTCAGGTGTGTGCAGCCTCTGACACCACACCCTTAACCTGCTGCTACACCCTTCCCCTGCAGCTGAGCCACAAACCACACTCCATCACAGAAAGTTTTAGTATTAATCTTAAAAGCATAGTCTGTTCTTGTATCTTTTTATTAAAAATGATGCAGTTTAATGTGTCATTGCACTCTGAAATGAAACGAATGAATATTACAAATATACTGTTGGAGTTTAAAAAAAAGAAATCATGGAATCAATTTATGAACCAAAATGTATTCTAAACTTTTGAATCATCAAAGCAGCCACCTTTGACAGATATAACAGCTGGACACACCCATGGCATTCTTTCTACAATAAAACAAAAAATTCTTCTGCCCAGTCCAACCAAAGGTTTGAGTCGGAAGACTGTGTTGCCCACTTCCTGATTTCAAGGTTACATCTTGTTCTTTTTTTCCTGAGGCAGTCTGGCAATGCTTGGACTTATGTTTTGAGTCATTACCTTGCTGTAGGATGAACCCCTGACCAACTAGGTTCATACCAGAGGGTGTTGCATGCCGCTGCAGAATGTTGTGGTAGTTGTTTTGGTTCAGGGTGCCTCTCCCTCTGTACAAGTCACCGAACCTGGATCCAGTAAAACAGCCCCAGACCATCACTCTTCCTCCTCCATGTTTGACAGATGATGCCACACACTGTGGAACCAAAAATTTGCCTTCTTGATGGTGTACAAATGTCCTGCATGATGAACTGAAGATTTCAAATTTGGATTCATCAGTCCATACCTTCTTCCAGTCTTCAAATAGTCCAATGGTGGTGTTTCATGACCCAGGCAAGCCTCTTTGTCTTGTTCCAACGTCTTAGCGACTTAGCGTCTTGCTTCAACTCGCCCTGTCATGCCTGCAGCTTGAAGTCTTCTCTGTACATTTGAAACTGAGACTTGCTTACTGCTGTTAGGGTCAACCCGCGTGGACCCAGGTAGCAGATCACACAGACACTTTAAGCTAGAGCGTAAATGATTTCTTTACAATAACACAGTTCTGGGATTGCCGTCATAACTGGTGGAGGACTCAAACAGTCTATGGGAAGGCAAGGGAGCAGTGATTAGAGAATAGACACGGTGAGAGGAAGACGAGGACTATGTGAGGTGAGAGAGTTGGAGAGCTTACTTGCCACAAGTTTGGTGACAGGCTGGGCCAGGGGGTGTGAGGAGCTGGTGGATTAGGCAAATAGAGTGCGGGCTGGTGATGGTGCAGGCTGATGAGGGTGACCAATATTCAGAAAGAGACCAACACGTTACCACTTCTGGATGAGGCAATACTCTGACACCAGACAGCAGCTGCGCTGCTCCTCAAATAGCCCCAGCTGATGATGCCTGATGCCCTGCAGGTATGCCAGGGAATCCAATAGATCACAGTCCTGCCCGTCTGCACTGAAAAAGGGAAATGACAGGACAGCAACAACACACACCATCCCAACTCCTAATAACTACAACCACTATTAAGCTGTGTTCCTGTGAGCTGCCTATCATGCAAGCTGTTAACTCTCAGAAACTTGTCCTCGAATTCAGTCGTTTCTTTGGGTCTGACTTTGTTTACAATTTCTCTGTAAAAAAGCACCTACATTTTTAAGTGTTATGATAGTCTGTCTCTCTTCCATCTTAATTGCCTTTTTCTTGCCATTTTTGTAGTAACACACTACTTTCTGCAGTACAACACTGTTAAACTGATGCTCATGAGGGTATGGTACCACAGTGTGTTCCAAGACTCCAGAAAATTCAGAATGCCTGTAGGAATTAGTAGCACCAGCTTTAACCCTAACCCTAACTCTAACTGCCCGCAGGGGCGAGAAAGTACTAGCTACTGATTACGCTTAAATAAGATAATTAATTATGTTCTTTCCATAGGTTTGACTGAACATGAGATCCTTTCCCAGGCCTTGGTCTTCATCTTTGGAGGCTACGAGACCACCAGTACCACTCTAACTAACATCCTTTATAATCTGGCCACCAACCCTGATGCGTTGCAGACCTTACACAAAGAAATTGATGCTAAGCTGAAGGAAGATGTACAGTAATTCATCACATAATTTGTTGCCATCCTTGATTCGGTGGTTTGCCATTTGCATATTTTGTTTTTATGTTTGCCTTCTTCTTTATATTTTGCCTAGGCACCCATTTCATACGAGGAGCTGACCGGTCTACAGTACCTGGACCAAGTTATACTTGAATCAATGCGACTGTTTCCCACTGCCCCTCGCCTCAACAGGGTGTGCAAAAGAACTGTGCAAGTGAATGGGCTCACCATCCCCGAAGGAACCACAATTAGGATTCCTGCGTGGGTGTTGCACAAAGACCCACGCTACTGGGACTCACCTGAGCTTTTCAGACCAGAGAGGTAACTGTGTAGGTGTGTCATCACAAGGTCATAAAGAACCTGGTCATCCTGTAATTAGTGAAACCTGGGACATTATGCTTTGCTTTATCTTTGCTAGATCTTTCGAATGTTTTATCCATTATAGCTTCCACCTAAGTACTGCTTTGATCATAGGTTTTTCCCTGCTGTAAGATCTAACTGGCCAATGGGTCCCTAATCCCTGCTTAGATGGTTTGGCATCTTTACGTTGTAGGTCTACAGACTGCCTAAAAATCATGGCTCAATACAATGAGAATTATTTGATTATACATATCTACATTTTTAAAGTTTGTTTGATCTGTATCTGCAGGTTCAGTAAAGACAACATGGAGGAGGTGAACCCATACGCGTTCATGCCATTTGGACTCGGCCCTCGTAACTGCGTTGGGATGCGCTACGCCCTCCTCGTCATGAAGATGGTTATTGTCCGTCTCTTGCAGAAGTACACTTTGGAAACATGCAAAGAGACAATGGTAAGAGCAGCAATCCTCCACATTTAGACTGTCATGGTACTCTGCTGTCCTGTCACTGATGTTACATCCATTTCTTTTCTTTTTTTTAGATTCCACTTCAGTTTGACTGGAAGGTTCAGCCAGTTCAGCCTGTAAAACTCAAGTTTGTTCCCAGAAATCAGTAGTCTAAGAGGGAACATCTCCATCCTATCAAAAAAAAATCCTATCAAACATTTTATTGTATAATTTTCTTTTAATGTGAGGCAAGTGCTGCCATAAGGGTATTCATCCTTTTTCTGCTGCTTAACTGTAAAATGTTAAATCAGTGCAGTGTAAATATTTGAATTTTCTTGCAATATTAATAAATCAAATGTATTTTAATTACTTTTCTTTAAATTGTGTTGAACTTTTTTCAAAAAGCTAACTTTACTAATGGTTTACTGTATGAATTTCCTGATAACCATCTTTGATTTGTGCAAACATATTATTCTGTGACACTTGATCTTTAGGTTTGCCTTTGTTAATTTTGTCTTGTTTTCTTTCATGCATGAGCTTTATACAAATGAATAAATAAAATTACAGTTTGAAATCTAGAGACTTATCAGAATATCTCTTGGGACAGTTAAGTCCATGAAATAAGCTGCTGGCAGCTATACACGTCTCATTGATGGCTGTAGTCTTATTATTGGTTTTACCATCACAGCTAGCCAGGTTTCCAAAGGCATAGGGTCTTGTGGGCTAGTCAGAGCGGACACTCCATTTTCCCTCCTGCATCCAGTCTTGAGTCTTGTAGACCGATAGCCTCTCTGGCTTTCAGGCATGAATGCTCACATTTTACAAAGCCCGGACCTAGTTAGCATGTAAATATACACATTCATTAATGGTTTTTACAGTTTTTACAGTGTTGTGGTCAGAATATTGGTCTGCTCCACCTCCTCTTGGGGTGTCTTAAAGAGTTAACAGAGTGGAGAGACAGTCAAGATACAATAGAGAATGTTTGGTTATGTTGTAATCTTGGTTGTCTCAGTGAGAGACTCTCTCCAGCTCTAGGGCCACTTGGAGAACGTTATAATTAAACTATCAGTGATTTCCACGAGCACAGATGTTTTATGCATAAGTTGTTGGGTGTGGCCAGGTAAGACGGGGATCATTCTACAAACATATGGAATATGTAGGACCTTTTAGGTTTGGATTTTTTCCACCCTTAATAATAAACACCTTAATTTAGACGTTTTGTATACATGTTGTGTTTAATTTTATTATCTTTGTCTAATATTTACATTTGTTTGATGATCTGAAACATTTAAGTGCAACAAACATCCGAAACAAAATATAGTAGGATCCGCCCTGTTAAGAGGGAGTTTTTCGTTCCCACCGTCTCCAAAGTACTTCCTCAGGGCTTGGTCGTATGATTATTGAGGTTTTCTCGCTTTTCTTTGTATTTTTTAGGGTCATTACCTTACAATATAAAGCACCTTGAGGCAGCTGTTGTTGTGATTTGACGCTTTATAAATGAAATTGAATTAAATTGGTGTAAATTTTAAAATAAAAAATGATTTAATTAATAATCTCAAAGCAGGAACAATTACTTAATGATGAATACTGTGAAATGTTTCTGGATAACTTCAGAATTAGGTTGTAGTGCAGGGAGAGACTTGGCTAAGAAACCAACTGAGAAGCTGGGAAAATAATATTTATTTGATGATGAAAGCATAGAAATTAACTGAGAAACTAAGACCAGATTCAAGCTGGGGTCATTGTATGTCATGCTGGATTCTCAACTCGCTGGCCAAACAAGAAAAACAGACATGTTACCCAGAATTGGAAATGTTTACACATTTCAATGTAATTAAAGTCGCAAACCCTGTGCCTACTCCTTTGCTAATCTCTCTAGGAGATATCGTTCTTTAGTTTGGACAATAACACGCCAGCAAAACTCTAATGCATAGTAGAATTAGATAAATCTCACTGCAATTAGTATGGATCACGTCATCAGAGCGATAAACATGTTAAGTAAAACACAAGAAAAGTACTGAAGAGAGTAATGCTTGCACACTTCCACAAAGCTGTGAGAGAAGAATTACAGCAGCCTGTGTCAGGGACATTATCAGCTTCTGCAGGGCCTCCTTGGTTTTTGTAGAAAAAAGGTGGGTCTCAAACAACTGCTGAGCATGCGCAGGAGTAATAGCCCCGTAGAAATATTCACAAGACTCATATGTTAAAAGTCGATTAGAGACAAACTAGACCGGACGGCAACCGTGGAAAGTGAGAAAATAATTATTGGGGGGATAATGGAGAACTTCGTTATTACAGGGAAGTATTAAAACAGATCAAAACGAAAGTTGATTTACAAACCAAGGACACCCTAAAGCGGATCATTTCATGCAGCAGAAATAGCAGACACATTAGAAATCGTTGATGGTTAAAGTATTTTATTCAGACTTACGCAAAACCAAAAACGTTTTAAAAGCGTCTGACCCTTTTTACACCTTATTACGTAAACACATTTTTGTCTCATACGCTCTCCTCCCACCACATGACGTCTTCTTAGGTTCGCTGGTTTTCCAGCCTTCAGCTACACCTGCGCTTTTGTCGGAACGAGGTCAAAAATGTTTTTCACGCTGTTTTCAGCAACCACCTGGACTTTGCTTGCCCTCCTTTTCACGTTGATATTACTGTGAGTATTCCTCGACTGTTCACTGCGGTCAAGCCACCGCACCTGGAATCTTGTTTCTTCTTAATTACCTCGAAAGCAACAGTTGGGTGTCAGGCTTGCTGTTTGTTTTATTGTCCAACTGGCTCCTATCCTCGCTCTCTTTTTGCAACACAGGTACGGATTATGGCCATATCGGTTATTCAAAAAGCTGGGGATACCTGGACCGAGACCCCTGCCTTTTATTGGAACGATGCTGGGCATGAAGAAGGTACGTACATACACTAAACTCACCTTAGCGACTGGGATACGAGGAGCAGACTGATTTAATCATTGAGATTTAGAGATCGGGATTTGCTTGATGAACCTGTCTGTGCTCACGTCCAATTCAGTGGCTTTTTGACACTAATACACTTTTTTTTCCCTGTCTACCTTTTTGCAGGGATTTCTTGCTTTTGACCTAGAGTGCCATGCCAAGTATGGGGACGTCTGGGGGTGAGTTGTTAATTCATCATGACTGATAGAAGACGCATTCAAAACCACCACTGATATCCACTCATACCAAAATATCTCTGGGAGCCAAACTCACAGTATGTTAAAAATGTAACATATTGTGACTGTGGTTGTGAGGTCAACTCTGTGACAGGATGGAATAATGAAAAAAGTTTTCTACTGGCTTCCTCTTTTTATGAAGTTGTTCTTACTTTGGAGCTTGATCTGATAAAATAGTTTAAATATGAGATGGTAAACAAATATCTTTCGGTGGAAACATAACAAACCATTTTCTCTTTAGGGATAAGTGCAAGAATCAGCTTACATATCTAGATGTGTAATAGTACAAAAAAAAAAAGAATTGTGAAAGACTCTTTTCTTTTTTTAGGTTGTACGATGGACGAACGCCAGTGTTGATGATTGCTGACCCTGAGATTGTTAAAACTGTGATGGTGAAGGAGTGCTACTCTGCATTTACCAACCGCAGGGTAAGAGGTTCATCTTGTTGTATATCAGTGTATGTCAGTGCAACACTCTCCATGTAACATAGAGTCTGCTAACTAAACATTGTTTTTTACTTTATTATTTTTCCAAGTTTGCTTTCAGTGGCGCTACAGTCTGAGGCTGACGTGTGTAATAACACAATAACTACAGGGACAAACTGGTATTATATATAAATGAAGTAATGTTCAAATCTGGCAGATTGGACTTTCACCAAGAGTTACACATTTATACTCAAGGGTTACATCAGCCCACACGTACACAGGAGCTGAGACACATAAAGTAAACCAAGCAACACACTTCACTGTTTTGTAGCCACCTAGAGATGAACGATAGATGTTATCTTTCTTGCTCTGTATAGCAGAATCAGAGATACTTTTACAAAGGGGGCGGGCCCCACACTTTGGGAAGGTCTGCATTATAATATATTATATAGAAGGACTTGGAGAGAGCTGTATCTCACTGCGTGAATGTCTTAAGATCTCAGATATTAGAAGCCAAAGATTTCAGCCAACAATCGTTGGTTCCTATCGTAAGGGTAATAAAATCATATTGGTCATAAAATTTTAGTATGTAATGCTTCAAGGCCAGGGGTCAAAGGTCAGACATCAGCAATCTGCTATAAACGCAGGTTGACGTCATGTTGTAATGAAAACATAAGCGCTTGCGCTTTGGCGAAAATGGTGTTAGAAGACATTACACTATCTGAGGAAACTTTGAGTTTCTGTGTGACAGGGTGGAAGCAACAGTAAAGTTATTTCCTTTTCACAGGATACCAGTTTTGTCAGTGGACCTATGGATGACGCCATTACAGTAGTCAAAGATGAAAGGTGGAAACGAATTCGCAACAGCCTGTCTCCATGCTTCACAAGTGGAAGACTGAAACAGGTTGATATCACATCTGAGTTCATTAACCACTTGTGTGTTAACATGTATATGAAGTGCATTTTTTTACTTGCTAAAATATGTTGGGAGAACAACTCCCAGGCATGGCTAAAACTGTTGGTACCTTTACACTTAAAAAAAAATCATGGACAAAAAATATTGACCTAGACTAGATTAAAAAAAATTATAAACATAATTCTCTTATTTTGTTTCCATTACTAAAAAAAAAAAAAGGTTTTTCCCCTCGTTGCTCGCTATGCAGAACGACTTGTTGCAAAACTTGAGGAAGCAAATTTGGATGAACCCATCACTGTCAAACAGTATGTTGTTCATCTGTAAAATGCAAACATATTATACTGTTCGGCCTAAAATAAATAATGCACTGACCATTTGTCTTTTCCAACTCTCATAGGTTTGTGGCTCCTTACAGTTTAGACACTGTGACCAGTGCTTCTTTCAGTGTGGAGACAGACTCCATAAACAATCCAAATGATCCAGTTAATGTTCAAGTCCAGAAACTACTTAAGATGAAAATTTGGCTTTTATTCTTACTAAGTATGCCCTCCTTTTATGCAAACACCATTTGGTAATATGCTATCTTTAGCTTTAGGTTAACAACTCTTTGCTCTCTTTTCAGTGGCATTTCCCTTTGGTGGACGTCTGGCAGAGCTCCTGAAAATTGATATTGTGCCCAAGGACAGCATTGACTTTTTCTACAACATCATCAAGAGATTTAAAGATCAGCATCATGAAGAGAAATCTGTAAGCATTCAATTTAAAATGGAAGATCAACATTGTCTTGTCTGTATGCACTAACCTTTGGGTCATTGTCATGTAGCTGTAGCTTCATGTTATGTGGGGTCGAAAAGGAAGATGCTGCGAGGGACTGTACATATTCTTGGCTATAATACTGTACAAAAATAGTATAGCAGTACTATAGTTGTGCTGAGTCTTTTCAGTGTCCCCATCCTGATGTTTTAAACTCAACATGCCAAACAATGAGCAGCTCTATCCTCACCTGCAACTTCTCAATCACATAGTAAAACATCTCATGCCTTTTCTTGCTGTGTCATTCTAATGGCACCATAATTTACAAAGCAAATGTATTGTTGAATTTAAAAGGAAATGAAACTAGTTGCAGAGCCAATCACCTCATCAGGAAAGTGTTTACTGACACAATGTAGCTAAAGTGTTGTTTTATGTAGCTTTGAAACAAGAGTAGTCACCCCCTGGTGACCATTAGGAAAAATTACTTCAGGGAAAAACTTTAGAGAAACTTCTGCGGTTTTTTGTGGTTTTTTTTGTTTGTTTGTTTGTTCTTGGATGTAGTTTTGGACAAGAACACCAGTGACGCCTGTTTTCATCCATGAGGTGTGTGCGGCAAAAAGCCGTACAACATGTGCCTTGAGGCGACTGTTGTTCTGATTTGGCACTATATAAATTTTACCTGTATTAACTTGTGTGTGCTACTCTAGTATTGTTTTAACTTTGGAATATTCAATTTCATACATGGTTTCTGGAATTGTTGTTAACGATGAATGTTTTCTTTTCTTATCTAGGACCGAGCAGACTTTCTGCAGGTGTTGATTCAGAGTGAGATCCCAGAAAAGACGTATAAGGATTATGAAGAACAGCCAAGTAAAGGTATGTTTTTACCACAGAAGTATCAGGGCGAGTAGGGCAAAGTGTAGGGCTCAGCTTGTTGTCCACTTTCAAGTCACTCATGTCACATGTACTGCAGACCACTCAGGATCAGGGGTTTTACACACAATTTTTTCTCATGACATCAATCTGCTCATATGTCTCATGTACAAGAGACCTGCCAGTGTTACATGTTATAAATCAGGACCTGGGTGATAATTAAATGAAGGGCTGTACATACCTCTGTAATATCCCTGTACGTATTTATATAGCCAGCCTGGCTAAGTGTTTTAAATTGTATGTGAGAGATGTCAAAGTGAGCCTGGACTGTAACAGGCCCTATGAGGCACTGTGAGGTGTATGAGATATTGTGGAGCATTAAGGGCTTTGTATTTCAAGATGAGGGAGCCATGGAAGAGTAGCCAGGAGAAATGGGATATCTATTTCTCGTTGGTGTTACCACTTCCTATACAGCATTTTAGAGCTATTGGAACTTGGAAACTACTGGAGAAATTTAACACACAGGAGAAGACACACAGCATGAGAAGACTACATCACAAAGAACAAGGAGAGACAGACAATAAATAAACAGCAGGTAATGAGGGGAGATGGGAAACAGTTGGGAAATACACTGGGAGCAAATCAGGAATAACAAGACAAGGGAAGTTGAACTGAACACAAAGCACCTGAGACAAGAGACTATCACAATAAAACAGGAAATTACACTGAGAGGGAGACGAGAGGACTTGACACAGGTAACAAATACAGAGACATGACTGTCTTCACAATACAGGCACAAAAGGGAACGGACAAAAGTCAGCTATAATTAACCTAGAGACACAAAATAGAGAACACACAAGCTCAAAACACTGCATCCATGTCACAAAACACGTGCAATAATTAGTTTGTCTTACCTTCAGTTAACTATCTGTTAGCTATTAAAGTAATTCCTCAGGAGTGTCAAACATTATGTGGTTCTTCACATCACCTTCAGATTTAGGAAACTGTCTCTGGCATTTTTCTTTTTGATCAGTTGTCAGTTTCAGTGTGAGATTGGCTCAGTACTAGTTACTGATTACTTTAGGGTTATTATATTAATTATAAACGGACTTTGATTTTGTTTTTTCTGTAGGTTTGACTGAACATGAGATGCTTTCCCAGGCCTTGATCTTCATCTTTGGAGGCTACGAGACCACCAGTACCACTCTAACTAACATCCTTTATAATCTGGCCACCAACCCTGATGCGTTGCAGACCTTGCACAAAGAAATTGATGCTAACCTGAAGGAAGATGTACAGTAATTCGTCCCATGATGTGTTTCCATCACTGATTTAGTAGTGGACATCATTTACATATTGTCTTTTTTTTTGTGTTTGCTGCCTTTATTTGTCTAGGCACCCATTTCATACGAGGAGCTGACTGGTCTACAGTACCTGGACCAAGTTATACTTGAATCAATGCGTTTGATTCCCACTGCCCCTCGAATTGACAGGACATGCAAAAAAACTGTGCAGGTGCATGGCCTCACCATCCCCGAGGGAACCATAGTTGGGGTTCCTGCGTGGGTGTTGCACAAAGACCCACGCTACTGGAACTCACCTGAGCTTTTTAGACCAGAGAGGTAAATGTGCATGTAGGTGTGTCATCACAAGGTTATGAAGAACCCTGTCGCTCTCCACAAGAGAGAATAATTAGTGAAATCTGGGACGTTTGCTTTATCTTTTTCATCCCAAAACCTCTGCAGCTGTCTGCTTTGAGTCATTGTTGTTCTGGAAGCTGAACTGTTCCCCTAGACTGAGGGTGCTGCAGTGTGGAGCTGGTTTTGATCTGACTTGTCCTCAATCAGGCCCGAGAGCTCCTCAAAGCTTTAGAAGTAACCGTGTATTTTTGCCCTGAACTACGCCCTACTACTCTTTATGTTGAAGGTTGCCTGAACATCGTGGTTAAATACAGTGAATTATAGGACTCTACATATCTACATTTTTAAAGGTTTGTTTGATCTGTATCTGCAGGTTCAGTAAAGACAACATGGAAGAGGTGAACCCATATGCGTTCATGCCATTTGGACTCGGCCCTCGTAACTGCGTTGGGATGCGCTACGCCATCCTTGTTATGAAAATGGTTATTGTCCGTCTCTTGCAGAAGTACACTTTGGAAACATGCAAAGAGACCATGGTAATAGCAACACTCCTCCACATTCAAACTGTCATGGTACTCTGCTGTCCTGTCACTGATTTTACATCCATTTCTTTTTCTTTTAGATTCCACTTCAGTTTGACTGGAAGTTTCAGCCAGTTCAGCCTGTAAAACTCAAGTTTGTTCCCAGAAATCAGTAGTCTAAGAGGGAGCTGCTAGCATGATGACGTTCATTGTGCATTTTTTTTCTACTGCTAAATTTAAAAGGTTATCAAGTCAGTGCAGTGTAAACACTTGAATTTTCTTGCAGCATTAATAAATTTTAATGACTTTGGATTTGTGCAAACATTATTTTGTGACACTTCTGCTTTAAATTTGCTTTTCATCATTGTTTGATTACTTTTGATTTCTCTTTGTGTATGCGTTTCATGGGTTAATAAGTACAAAGTAAATAAATATAAAATAAATACAGTCTACACAGTCTAGAGACAGTCTTTTTAAAATCTTTCATGTGCATTAAATATGCTGCTGGCAGTGATGCATGTCTCAGTGATGGCTGTAGCCCTATTGTTGGTGGTTTCTGTCTCCACCCATTTTTTCAACAGCTAGTGGGGCTCATTCTGGACTCACAGGTTTGATCGTGGTTTTCTGACAGTCCAAAAATCAATGTTTTGTATTGCTCACTAATTAAAACGGACCAGTTATGCTGAATTCCTGTTCTACATTTGTATACTTGGACTCCAGAGTAGCTCAAGCTGTCCTACTTATCATATGCTTTATTCCAGTGGTTGCCAACCCCCGAGCCATGGACCAGTATCGGGCCGTGAGAGTTGAGGTTTGGGTGGGAAATTTATGGTTTTCAGGGTTTTTGTAATTTTTTTATGACTTTTTTTTTTAATAGTTTTTATCGTTAACTCTGTTTCCCTGGGCCTTTTTGCATGTGTTATGAATAAATCTTTTTTTTTTTTGGTACCGGTTTTATTTTGTTGTATTTATCCGCAACACCTTAAAGTCTGGTCCGTGAAAATATTGTTGGGCATAAACCGGTCTGTGGTGCAAAAAAGGTTTAGGACCGCTGCTTTATTCAGCTCCCCAGTTTATCCTGTCTATGAAACAAGCCATTTTAACCCTCTAAAGGGATGATTTAAACAAAGTGGGTGGAGCTCAGTGAGCCTTCTAGGGATTTTACACGTTCGGACTTTATTATTTGAAACTTGTTAACCATCAGCATTGCAACTTATATAAGTTAAAATTATTAAAAGCATAATAGTTCCATTTAGCTTATTTTAAACCCATTTGTTGTTTTAAAATTGATGAAATGGTATAAAATTTACTAGGAAACTTTGTATCACCTTTGAAATCCTTTCCAGTGAAATCCACTTAGGAGTAAAAAGTTAATGTTCAGTGCATGTGATGAGGGTCCTGAAAATGAAGGATCATAATCTGATCTTTTGGCTGATGCTGTTGACATGAAAGCATTCCTGTCACTGTAAAAACAGGCAAACTTTACAGTTTTTTACAGATTTTTACTCAGTACTGCATTTGTTCAACATACCACTGTTAAAAATAATAAAAGAAGGAGCATGTGGAACTATTCCTTCTGGAAAATGAAATTTGTCCAAATTGTCAGCATAGAAGAAGAAGCACAGAGGCTCAGTTCTGGAAACATATGCTGGAACTTTGGATTTTGGACATATTTTATTGTGAAAACATGAAAGACACTGACAGTAAACAGGCAATGCAAGTATTTGCATTTGATGACACAATCTGAAATTTCTTTCTATATAACCAGCAATGGACAGTCGTCAAAGTTTAGAACAAATCAAACTCTTGTTGCCAGCTGTTGAAGCTAGATGGAGACAGATACCACCAATAACAAAACTACAGTCATCAGTGAGAGGTGTATCGCACAAGCAGTAGCCTTATGATTTAATAAATGCAATTACAATTTAAAAATGTATAAACGCTAAAGTCAAAATCTCTTGAGTGTAAGGTCCATTTAAGACACCGACTGGTGTAACTTTTGGACACAAAATAGATCAACTTTTCAACACAATTTAAATAAAAGTAATTAAAAGAGATCAACACAGCAAAATCAGATGTTTAACCTGCTCTCATTCAATAACATTTTTTTTTTTTTTTTTTTTGCCTGTCCCGTTTGGCTCTTTTGCCATCAGAATTGTTGTCTAAAGGCAAAGAAAGATGCCCAACGGATTTACTTTACCAAATTGACCATCCCAGCCTTGCCATAATGGTCCATTTGATTCACCTTTTATTGTTTATTTTATTTTCACTTACTGAATATGGGACAGACTTGACTGGGGGAAAGAAGGGGAGAAAGAAAGAGGGAAAGAGAAACAGCTGAGAAGAGTGACGGGGGAGAAGGGCAAAAACCAAAAACCAACAGAATGAGCAGAAAAAGAAAAAAAGAAAAGAAAAAAAAATGCATATATCAATCACCTGGATCACCTGCTGAGAAAGAAAAAAGAAAACAAGCAGAAGAGAACAAGAGTAATAGAATAAACAACATCACAATGATATATGGGAATATGACAGTAAATACTAAATATTAAACATTATTGTGCAGCACATAAGATCAACAGAACACAGTGTGCTTTGAGGTAGGAGCCAAAAAGGGTGTAGTTTGTGGGTGTGATCACCCGTGTGTACACCTGTGAGCATGGACGCGTTTGTTTTTTTGTTTTTTAAAAGGTTCCTTCATGTAATGATCTGCTAGAGGGTGTGGGGGGGCCACAGCCCCGTCCTCCAGGGCGTGAAGCAGGTGTGGAGGAGATCAAAACTCCAGACATCCAGAGGCCCCCAGAACACAAGAGACCAAGGAAGACCAACAGAGGGGCAGCCGCGCCACTGTCAATAACATTTTAAAATAGTTGAAAATATCAACTCAGTGAATTTATCTTGGCAGCAGATATAAAAACATGTTTGATGGGATTTAGAGACGTTCCCTCTTAGATTACTCTTTTCTGAGAACAAACTTGAGTTTTACAGGCTGAACTGGCTGAAACTTCCAGTCAAACTGAAGTGGAATCTAAAAGAAAAAGAAAAGAAAATCAGGAACATGACAGCATAGTTGTATGACAGTCTGAATGTGGCAGAGTGCTGTTCTTACCATTGTCTCTTTGCATGTTTCCAAAGTGTACTTCTGCAAGAGACGGACAATAACCATCTTCGTGGTGAGTAGGCCGTAGCGCCTCCCAACGCAGTTACGAGGGCCGAGTCCAAATGGCATGTACGTGTATGGGTTCACCTCCTCCCCGCTGTCTTTACTGAACCTGCAGATACAGATGAGACTTTTACGTTTATTCTGCTATTTGAAACATTAAAAAATAACATAACAGGTGTGTAAAAAGAGAGATATGGCTGGGTTACTCTGCACAAATACAACATTTTCTTTAAGAATTATGTCCCAGTGGATGAGTTTTCAATAAGTTTGTAATGGCACACATTTACCTCTCTGGTCTGAAAAGCTCAGGTGAGTTCCAGTAGTGTGGGTCTTTGTGCAACACCCACACAGGAATTCCAACCACAGTTCCCTCAGGGATGGTGAGGCCATTCACTTTGACAGTTTTTTTGCACACCCTGTCGAGGCGAGGGGCAACGGGAAACAGTCGCATTGATTCAAGTATAACTTGGTCCAGGTATTTTAGACTGGTCAGCTCCTCGTATAAAATGGGCGCCTAGACAAATAATGGAGGTGGCAAGCACAAAAAGAAAATTAATTGTTGTCCATTATTCAAACAAAGATGACAGAAAATTATGTAAAGAATTACTGTACATCTTCCTTCAGGTTATCATCGATTTCTTTGTGTAAGGTCTGCAACACATCAGGGTTTGTAGCCAGATTATAAAGGATGTGAGTAACAGTGTTACTAGTGGTGTCGTAGCCTCCAAGGGTGAAGACGAAGGCCTGGGAAAGTATCTCATGTTCAGTCAAACCTAAAACAAAAAACAAAAGATTTTATGGTAATAAAAAGTGGAGCAGGGACCAAATACTGTTGATCTTCTTTCAGCTGCCCCCTGTAGGGGTCGCCACAGCAGATCATCTTTCTCCATCTCACACTGTCGCTAGCATCTTCCTCTGTCACACTAACGCTCTGCGTGTCCTTTACTACATAGATGAGCTTCCTCTGAGTCTTTCCCTTTTCCTCCCTCCTGGCAGCTCCATTTTCAACACCCTTTACCTAACATATCTACTATCCGTCCTCTGGACATGTACAAACTATCTCAGCCTTCGTTCTCTAACCTTATCGTTAAAGTGCTCAACCTGAGCTTTCCACCTCCAGCTCAGCCTTTTCTAGGGTCACCATCTCTAAACCTTACATGTAGGCACAACTACATTCTTGTTAGCTTTCCCCCCTCACACTCATATACACCCACTTCACTCTATGTCCAGTCCACTCTCTTCTGGACTATCTGTTGCTTTGGATGGTTGACCCCAAGTAACTCTAGAGTTGGATGTCTCGAGACCACTTTTATGTGGTCTTGGTCTTGACTTGGTCTCAACGGACTTTTGGTCTTGGTCTTGTCTCTGTCTTACTTCTCAGATTGAAATAGTGTTCGGGAGATTTGGAGTCAACCACTGGCGGAGCCGGGGGTGGGTGGCTTACTGGGCTTAAGCCCGGGTCATTTTTTCAAAAGCCAATTTTTCAGTTTAAAGACTTTTTTTGTCTCGGTCTTGGTCTCGATACCCTTTGGTCTTGGTCTTGTCTTGGTCACGGTTTATGCGGTCTTGACTACAAGTCTATTAAACTCCTATAGCTTCAGTATCTCTGTAGCATCTGTCTCCCTCTCATCCAGACACATGTATTCTATCTTGCATCTACTGACTTTCCTCCCTCTTCTTTCCAAAGTATACCTCCATCTCTTCAGGCTTTCTTCCACCTGCTCCCTTCGCTCACTACAAATCATCAGTGAACAGCACTGCCTGAGGTCATCTGTCAACGTGTCCATTAACATTGTGAAAGCAAGAGCAGTTCTCCGGTGTACTGTCTTCATCTCCCTAGTTCACATTTTCTTCGCTAACCTCTACGTTTGAATACTTTCTTGTACTTCTCCATTTCCTCTTTCCTCTATCCAGAGGATACACCAAACACATTCTTGGCAGTTTCCCCTCAACACTTAAAAACACTCAAAACTCTTCACTATCACCCAGAGCTTGTCTCAACTACATTCGTGAGCTCTGCCCTGTATTCTTCCCTCTTAAAATATGTATTTTGACATTAACTGTTAAAATAAATTATCAGTATACAGCTATACAGAATTGAATTTAAAATCCTCATTCTCAAATACAAAGCTCTTAAGACTCCATCATATATCGGAGACCTCATATTTGAGACTGGAGGCTAACTTGGGCTTGGTTACTTCTCCGATAAAAACATACCTTTACGTGGCTGTTCTTCATTGTTCTTATAGTTCTTTTCTGGGATCTCACTTTGAATCAACACATGCAGGAAGTCTGGTCGTGTCTGGTTTAAAGCAGACAAGCATTCAGAGCAGGACTTGAAAATGACCCAGAGGTAAGTGCATACAGACTAGATAATGTTGGTCTTCCTTTACAGATATAATGCTTACAGATTTGGCTTCATGATGCTCATCTTTAAATCGCTTGATAATGTTGAGGAAAAAGTTTATGTTTTCTTTGGGCATGATCTCAATTTTGAGCTGCTTTAACAGACGACGACTGAGGGGAAATGCCACTGAAAGAAGAGTAAAGAGTGGTTAACAAAAGGATATGATCAAATGGAGTTTGTGTAAAAGAGTAAAAGTAAGGTCATACTTAGCAAAAAGAAAAGCCCAGTGTTGACTTTAAGGACCTTCATAATTTGAACATTAATAGGGTCGTTTGGATTGTTTATGGAGTCTGTCTCCACACTGAAAGAAGCACTGGTCACAGTGTCCAAACTGTAAGGAGCTACAAACCTATAAGATTTGAAAATACATGTGGTGAATGCTTCAGTTATTTTAGGATGAACAGTGTAATGTGCTGGCATTTTACAGATTAACAACATACTGTTTGACATTGATGGGTTCATCCAAATTCGTTTCCTCAAGTTTTGCAACAAGTTGTTCTGCATAGCGAGCAACGAGGGGAAAAATCTTAAAGGAATAAAAGACAAAATAAGAGAATTATATTATATTTATTTTATTTTGGAGAGATATACCCATGTTTGCCACAAAATAAAACAATAAAAGAGCAATAAAAGAGTCAAATTCTTGTTTAATTCTGAAAATTACTGATTTCTCTGAGGATTTAGAAATAATTAGTGATATCCAATAATAATAATAATAACTAGTGGTATGTTTGGTAGCTCCATAATAAGGTGGTTTTCACAATTGCCAAACAAGCAAAAACTCACTGGTTTGGTACCAGGAGAAGACAGAAATTTAGTATAACAATCTGCTAAATGTAATAGGTGTAATGACACCTTTTGAATAAGGGGGCAGCCAAAAGTGTCTGTTATGTGGTTATATTTTGAGCCGTGGACAACATGTAGCTATAATTATTTGCACACTTTGGGAACTTAAAAAAGGAACGGCAAGTACCAGAACACAATTCACTTTAAATTAAAGTGGAAATAGTGGAATAAGGCTATTAGGAGCTACAAATAGTGCCTTATGTTAGTGATTTCCTGAAATACCTCAAATTACTGTGTACCTTTATGTCAGTATTATCCAAAGAAACAGCTAAATGTTAGTGATTTTATATATTATGTGTAAAGGTGCCAAAACTTTTTAATGATGCCTGTTTAAGTAGTTTGAGGAAAAAAACCCAATACAAAGTGATGACATTTGAACAAGAAATAAATCTATTACTTTTGTTGTAAGCGCACATTAAACACAGACGTGGTTAATAAACCCACATATGATATCGACCTGTTTCAGTCTTCCACTGGTGAAGCATGGAGACAGAGTGTTGCGAATCCGTTTCCACCGTTTGTCTTTCACTGCTGCCACTGCATCATCCAGAGGTTCGCTGAAGAAACCAGAATCCTTTGAAAAGGAAAACGACAAGGAAAAACTACTCTTAGTGTTTACAGTTTGCTTCCACCAACATCTTCCAGTCCCCTAACGACACGTGTAGTTTGCTCAGATAATGTAATATCATTTGTAATATCTTGTAGCATCATTTCTGTGATAGCTCTATATTATGCATTTTCATGTAGTACTTTGTTTGGACAGATCAATGTATATGGAATTAGAACAGTTTGGACAGGCCTGAGTAAAACGTAATTATTAACCTGCCCTTTTACCCCATGTTAATGATATATCTAGGGGGGAACATATTTCAGTTTAGCTTTCAAAAAAAAGCAAAAGATAAAACTCTTTTGGGGAGTGTTGCGCTGACAGGACATCCAAAGGTTTCATGATTTGCTGAATTTCCACTCTACTGTACGATAGAAAGCGGAGCCTCTTACCCTGCGGTTGGTAAATAAAGAGTAGCACTCTTTTACCATCACAGTTTTAACAATCTCAGGGTCGGTCACCATTAACACCGGCGTATGTCCATCGTACAACCTGCAGAAAAGGAAAGAGCCTTTCACAGTATCTTAAATCTTAAATCACAGCAAATCATTTAAGGCATTATTAAGCATCTGGATATGTAAAGCACCTTCAAATCAAAGAGGTTTTTTCATCTGTGCAGGTAGTAAAATTACACATCGATTACACGTGATGCTACAAATGGGATATCACGGTCCTATTATTATTAAATAAATACATGACAATGGAATAAGAAATTTTATAGAGTTTATTTTTGTAGGTTTTCATATGTTTCTCACTTCACATTCCCTGAACTCATACTTTGACTGGAATTCATTTGGCAAAAAAGAGGGGAAAAGGTAGGGGTGGGGGAAAAAATCGATACTGTGTAGTATCGTGATATTTTGTTTGCTAATAATGTATCGATACAGGGACAGCAGAAATCGATATTTTGTTACAAAAAAAGTTTTTGTGGACTGGAACTCTGACTTCAGAGCATGTTGATCCTTTTTCTGAGCAAGAATCCTGACATTCCTTCACTATCCAAATGTGTTTAACTTTTTTTTGGCAGCAATAAACATGACAGTTTACTTCTTTTAATTTAAGACATGTTTTATTTTAATTAAGTGTAAAACTTTTTTATTTAATGCAAAATTATATTTTCTTTTAATTTACTTTCAAATTCTTCAGTTGCTGAATGGGCTGCATAGTTTTCATAAATTGCATAGTTCAGAATAGCTATAATTGTACCAGATGGTTGCATTCAGTTAAGTTGGACTAGACTGTAATACAAACCGTTCAGTTTGTCAACAATAAAACTGACTGAAATGAGAGAAAGACTGAGTGCGAGACTTTGATATTAGATAAAATTAATATTGATAAAGTTTACCTTTATGTTCAGAATCTGAATATCGCAAAATATTTTAAAAAATTGCAATAATATCGTATCGTGCGTTAAGTATTGTGATAATATCGTATCGTGGGATGTATGGTGATTCCCACCTCTAGAAAAAGGATGAACAAATTTAAAGCTGAAGTGAAATAACTGCTTTTCAAATCTTCTATTAATCATTTTATATAAATTTTAATCTAAATATTGATAAAGGAATTTTGACATACTTATACTGTGAACCTGTTTGTGAACCTAGTGTAGATATAGTAGGATATATGCATTTCAGAAACTTCGCCTTGTGTTGTAAAGAACTGTCCCCAAACTTTTTCCCCTTTTATCCCTAAAATAAAGAAAATTGGATGCTATGCTTCCACCAAAAGAGATCTGCTTCAGGCCAAAAAGAGAAATGGCTTCATGAAAAATGTGAGCCAGTGAATATTTTTCCACCCTGTCCCAGTGATCATGGCAGTGATCATGGCTCACAGACAGAATTTGATATCAACAGACCTCCTGGTGATTTCTTGTATGTATACTGATGAAGCAAGAACTCACCCCCAGATGTCCCCATACTTGGCATGGCACTCTCTGTCAAAAGCAAGAAATCCCTACAAGAAGTTACAAGAAAATCTGTTTTAGTGTCAAAAAAAAAAACAAAACCAACCACTGAATAGGACATCTAAAGTATACAGAGAGCTCATTCATCTCGAATTCTCAAGGATCAAATCAGTCAGCTCTTCATATCCCAGTCTCTAAGGTGAGTTTGGTTTCTGTGCGTACCTTCCTCATGCCCAGCATCGTTCCAATAAAAGGCAGGGGCCGAGGTCCAGGTATCCCCAGCTTTTTGAAGAACCGATATGGCCATATTCCATATCTGTATTACAAAAAAAGGAAAAAAAATGGGATCATCAGTTGGACAGTAAAAAATAAAAAAATAAAAAACTCTGCCAGGATGACACCCAGCTATTGCTTTGGAGGAATACTCACAGTAAAATCAACGTAAAAAGCAGGGCCAGCAAAGTCCAGGTGAAAAACATTTTAACTTTGTTCCAACAAACAGGAGAGGAAATGTGGCTGCGAGCTGGAAAACAAGCGACCTATTTTCATTTTACACAATAACCCAGGAGGCCCAAAGAGATAAAGCTACTGATCAAACATCAGTGACACAGGTTATCACATGATCATCAGTGTGTAATAAACTTTTACGGCATCAAAAGGCACTCTGCTACTACTCACACTTTTTAATTATATGCACTTATTTTTGGCTTATTAGTAACAAATATGCACCAGATAGTTTTTTTATTACTTTATTCATGTTAAAAAAAAAGTGTGATCCCAAATGATTTGATGAATTTAAAATACAATTAATAAAAAGACATGTTTTGAGATATATTCTTTGAGTGTCATTTCAGATTTTAACTTTCTTTTCAGGTAACTTCACTTACAGTATATACTCATAAGATTTTACACAGCAGGATAAAATAAAAGTAATCCGTTCTTTAGCAGGCCTTAAAATGAGGTAAATAAAAATGAGTAAATAAAACCTCAAATAACTCAAACATGAGTTTTTATCCCATCTTATTATTTAACAAAAGCCCTTACGAGAGTTGATTAAATGACTGTCAACACATGTGAGCACCTCTATGAAAGCAGAGATTTGGGAGTTTGCCGAGTTGCATTTAGTTGCATATAACCAACTTCTGCTGCCGATCTGCCAGTGAGAAAGATTACTCATAGGTGGGTTTAATTCTCTGTAGAAAGTAGTGTCAACCCTCCAAGTCACTCTGTACTGCAGCTTAGTTCTGAAAGTATGCAAAGCCCTCCTAAAACAAATATTGACCCATGAAATAAATGTTTAAACCCTAAAGAAAACAATCTACTAACAAATAACACATTTAAACCTAAAACAAGGGGAATCTTTAATCACATTACTAGAACAAAATCTATAGCCATAAAACTAATTCGCCATGACACAAACACAGTCACAGATTGTATATTTTCTTTAATAACTTTCCAACAGATACAAATGTGTTCGGCTCCATCTAAAGTCTCTGCAAGTTCACTGTGAAACGGCTGAAGTCAGTTTTTCTGTGTTTTGAATGATTGAGGTTTCCCGATCTGCATTCATAGCTCACAAAGGTGGCGCAAAATCTCACAAGCTATCTCTTTAAAGGATATTTACTCCTCTGAGAAAATAAATGCACACAAGAAATGAGGGTGATTACAATTCATAGGCTGCCAACGTAAAAAGAAACAAAAGAAGAAGAAGAAAGTGACGTTACAGCCATCTTTGGTCATTTTAATTTACTATACCTTAAATTTGGCAATCACAAGTAAAGTAATAACTAAGTTTGTTGATGATTAGTGTTTAACGATTTATTGTGTATTTGTCAACAGACAGATGATTGTATCACAGCTGAAAACCACCTGAAGCTATGAAGGTTACAGGAAACCTCAGTAACAGTACAAATAACAGCCAGCAGAGGGCGTCGTCAACAACAGTACGTGTGAGTGTGCATTATAAAGTTTATTTAGTGAAACATGAAAATAACTTTTAAAAATTAAATCCTTTCACTTCAAATCAGATAAAATATGCTGGTTTTTGTGTCTTTTACATGATTCCTGTAAAACTGCTTCAGTTTTGTTAGAAAGTCCCAAAAACAACATTTTTACCCGATGGTGGACACTGCCACAAAATGTTGCTAAAAATTAGCGTGAGCACAAAAAGAATACAACTAATCTCTTAAAGATGCAGACGCATTTGTAAATACACCCTGAAAACAGTGCTACATTTGTTAAGATTGATATTTCTTTGCCGTGTGTGAGAGATGTGTGGTAAATTTGGCCCAGTTGGTAGCTCGTTGAAACCGCTTATACTATAAGTGGGGGCACACGCTCCTACATTCATGCACAGACAGGAGAAGAAAAGAAAAAGGAAAAGTGTGCAGGCTCGCAAACAAGCATACAGGATGTAAACAATAGCTTTTTCTTTAAATCTGAGCGAAGAGTAGAAAACTGCACTGCCACAGCGTGCTGCCGAAAAGCTCTATGGAGTGACAACTGCATTAGAAAAGCAACAGCGACAACGCAAATGAGCATGTGGGATAAAAAAGTTTAAAAGATCATATGTTACAAAGCCTTTTAGAGTCCTGAGTTTAATGGCAAAACAGACAAAAAGGCCAGAGTCTTTATTTTGTAGAAATACTATAAGGATTTAAAGAAAGAAAAAAAAAAAAAAAAAAAAAAAAAAAGGGTATCCAAGATCAGTTAGTCTTCATAACATGTTTTCAGAACATCCATGGCTCTTGTTTGGGACAATACACAATATGCAGCATATGTCTCCTTGTTAACAGGATATATATTTGTCTGAGTAAATCATGAAGTTTTCCCCACCAATAACCTTCCGATAATCAAACTTAACTAAACTGTGCAGCGATGTTTCAAAACGGCACCACGTTGTGTCGCTCCTAACTGGACACAGTGTGAAGAAAAAGACTGTGAGAAGTGCAGGCTGAAGAGAGGTCAGTTAAAGAAGAGCTCGTCTGCCTTCGCTTCTTCTTCAAACACATTTGTATACATTGCAGACTGACATTGTGTCCTAAGTGTGAGCGTGGACCTCGATTTTTTCGGATAAAACGTTTTGCTTTATGCTTTTAAACTACTGGGAGTCTTCTACAGTTGACCAACAGAACACTTGTGGGTGCTCTAAGGCACCTTGGCAGCTGCTACTGAGAAAGAAATGTTTCCCATCTTAAATCAATCCCCCCTTCACTAGAACCTAACTACGAAATGATTTAGAAACATTTTACATTATTGGTGGTGAAATACTTGTTGCTACTTCATAATTATTAAGTAAATCCACTTCATTAGTTTGCTTTAATCAAAGCATGTGAGGTTATTAAGGATGGGAGGGAGGATCTGACATCATAGAAGAAAGGCGGGGGTCTCTGTGAAGCTAAGAAAGTCTTATGGATTGACAGTGGTTCTGGATCTGTTTGTTCTTGTCTATGCAGCTGATTGTAGTTCTGGTTTAGGCTGTTTACAAACCTACAGCCTGCTGTAATAAAAAATAAAAGGCAGAGGATCCAGCAATTTGAGGCAAAGGGTAAGAATTCCCAAAATCCACCTGTTACTTTCAAGATTGTAGCAGCCACCTGTCCCAGACCAGATCTGAAACACAGCAGGCGGCAGTGGAAACATTTACCAGCCACAGATCAAATGATATCAGCGCTCAGCTCCTGGACATTTAAAACCACCAATAACTGGGAGGTCGCTCAAGACAATAAAATCCCCTCACAGACCTGCTGTACTTAAAAGTATAAGGCAGAGCATCCAGCACTTTTAATTCTTGTAGCAGTCCTCTGACATTTTTAACACAGCCATAAGCCTTAACAAACCTAAATCATACCCTTTTGGTGAGGATCAACACCACTGATAAATAAAGCACTGGTATAGTTTGGATGTGGCTGGTAAACACATGAAGGAATTTGGCAGGTAAAATAATGAAAACATATTCGATGTGAAAAAGTTAAAATCTCAGATTGATGAGAGCGATGACCACAGGTTTCCCGTCTTTGTCAGCAATAAGCATTTCCCTGCTCAGGATTTCTTCAAGTGTTTGGCTGACACCCGACCATGCGCGAGGATAAGTCTGACAGGACCTTTGGCTGTAGATAGATCCATCAACTGCAGCAGGTTTTCTGTTACCTGGCTGCCAATGTAACAAGTCCAGCCCAGAGTTTCTCAGCATGCCATGCAGCCTCTACCTGCGGGGCTGGTGGCGAGAGTGACGAGGCAAGGAGGAGGATGGGCTGGAGGACGAAGAAGGTGAGCAGGGTGACATGGAGGCCAGGGAGGCTGTGGCGGCGGCATCCTCTGCCTCCTCCAGTTCGCCTCCGTGGAGCTCCTGGCTCACACTGGACTGTAAGGCAGCTGGGGTCAGCCACTCTTTGGGCAGGCAGCTCTGGAGGAATGGCACGCAGGAGCTGAAGTAGGCCAGGCGATTGACCCAGCGAGGGATCTCCCTGCCACACAGGATCTGAGAAGAAAGACAAGAAGGGAACGTTTTAATAAGTTCAGTACACAAGAAGTGACTCCTTAAAGCAAATGTATATTCTTTTTATGCTAGTCGTCAAAATTAAGGGAAAAAGTAATCACTCGTGTTTAGTGCCCCTCATTTACATGTTTTGTTATGGTTTGCAGGTTTGTGGTACGTAATGAACTATATTCACACAAAAACAGCGCAGACCCCTTTCTGCAACGTCATCAAGCCATGCAATACAGCCACAAAGGCAAATGATACAAAGTACAATAAAATTAAATCAAAGAAGTCATTTCAGAGACAAAAGCTCTATCCACCTACTATTGAAGTCTTTTTATTGTTAGGGACAGAATAAAGTTTGCTTAAAGGGAGGTGGAAGGGAACTACAATGACTCCTCTCAGACAGAAGATGAACTGAGGATCTGCACAAAGACCCAGTACATGACAAACGAGGGTTAAACTGATCTGCGAGTCATGCAACCCTACTATTTTTATATCTAAGACTACAAATAACTGACCATAACTGGTGTATTTTAATTAGTAGTCAATACCACTGGTCCCTAACCTTTTTTGCGCAAAGGACCGGTTTATGTCTGACAATATTTTCATGGACGGGCCTTTAAGGTGTTGCGGATAAACACAAAATAAAACCAGTACCGGTACCAAAAAAAGATTTATTCATAACAACATGAAAAGACCCAGGGAAATCAAGTTAAAGATAACACCGATAAAAAAAATTAACCTATTATCCCGAAAACCATACATTTCACACCCGCTCAACTCTTGCAGCCCACTACCGGTCCATGGCCCGGGGGTTGGGGATCGCTGGGCAATACAATACCAATACAAATCATTAGTTACTAGACTGACAGAAAAATCAAAGGTTTACTTAAATTCAACTTATGTATGAAGCCCCAGTTCAAAACAAAATCGGACTCGAATAGCTTTACATTATAGAAGAAAGAATGAACCGAAGTCCTTTTAACAGGAAAATACCTTGAGAGGGAAGTATGGGAGCTTCTGCCACTGAAAAACACATTTTTGCCATCCTTAAGTCAAAATTTCAGGATGTTATCCAGAACATTTAGATCATCTTAAAATTTGAGTTAAGTATCTAAAAATGTCAACTTATAAACTTAAACGTCTGGTAAAATAACTGGAAATTGAAAAGAATAAGTTGAAATTGCAAGTCAAGTCAAACTTTTGACTGGCAGGATTATGTAGGGCTTTTGTTTCAGCGGTGGAAATAAGCTTCCACGGGGAAGAGAGTGAAGGACACGAGGAGAGAGAAAAGAGCTAACAAATAAAAAGTTGCAAAGTTTACTTCCACATATTATATTATAGTATTTTCTGAATTTCCATATCACCAGTGAGTTGTGTCATTAGGCAAGTGAAGTGCTAGAGCTTATATAAAATAACTGACTATGCCAACACTTAGGGAGATAAAGAGCAGTAATAAGTATTAAATTATATTCAATAAGTCACTTTGTTCTCCATAAGAGAACTTGTCAGTGTTGGGAGAATGCTGTGGAGGAAATTAATCTCAAACAATGACTGCATAACCAGAAATTACATCCTGCCTGTGTCTTGAACTTCCAGGAAACTGAATCAGATTTCCTGACTTTCTATGCCATAAATAAATCTGTAATATGACTCTGTGCTAGTGATTTCTCAACCTACTGTAACAGTTAGTTCACGAGTACGTCTAGTTGGACCTTTTTCGGTCTGTGGTTGACATTTCTCTCTCACAATCTTCCTTAACAACTAACATGCTTGCACAGGCAGACACAGTCTATGTTATGGCTAATTATGATTACTCAGTGCTATTAGAGGTTGTTACAGCATAATGGGAAAAGTGGCTTCCAAGAAACTCAAAGTGTTTTCCTAGTAAAAGGGCTTAATTATGCTTTGATCAGAACATTTATTGAAGCTGCTGACGAGCTGCTTTTACAGACGTGTAAGGAGACAGAGACAGTGGGTTTGCTTTTATCTACAAAAAAAATTGTTACAAAGTGGCTGATTTTTGCTGATGATACTAGATTGCATAGGTTGTTTAGGCTCCAGCGATGAGGTTCTTCCATTTCTTCAGAGACTCAGCAAGAACTGCTCCTTGCAGAAGAAGAGGAGGTGACCTACATTCACCAAAATCCTTAAATATCATCTCTTTAGTGTTTGGCTGACATGTGGCTGATATATAATAAACTGTAGCAATTCACACTACTGTCATGAAATATTCCTTTGCAATAATAAAGTAAGCCTTCAGATCAACAATAGGCAATATTCATCCAATATAAAACGGTTGAAATGGGTTGGAAACATCAGCAACAGAAACATTTTTCTATGCCATGTATTTGACACTATGTGTATGTATGGGCACCACAAGCACTGCTGCTACTCTTTCCCAGCCGAGCAGCTCATCCGTACAGATTGTTAGCACAATTTTATTTGACGAAGAAAGCCTCAATGAAAATAAATATTCTTTCATTTTATCCAGTTTAGATGTTGACTGAGAGACTGATGCTACTAGTCTGTTTGGGATTTTAGATGATAAAGCAGTTTTATGTACACTGAAAGTCTGTGTAGGTATTCCTTGTTTCCTCATTTACAATTAATTCCTATACAGTGGTCCTCGCCGTTTTGCAGATATTTTTGTGCAATATTGCACTTTTTTTTTTTTTTTTTTTTTTTTTAAACAGCGCATTGTGTTCTGCATCCTGATTAGCTGTAGATCACTGTCAATCAATCTCGCCCCGTGCCTTCTGTACAGTACAGATTGCCTTCAGCTTGTCAAATTTACATAAATCTTCGATCGCTAGCAGCGTGACTCTGAAGCGCTGTACTGTATGTTTGTAAGTTTTCTCCCCAACAAACACAACAATGTCGACAAAACGTTTTGCACCGTCAAAGACACCCGCGGGAGCCTTTGGTTTCATTCTGTAATACTGAACTTATTTTTCTATGTAGGTTTGAACTTTTAGAGTGTTTAAACAAGAGAGAAAAGTGTGAACATATTCATGCCTGTGTGAGAAAAATGTATAAAGTGTGTAGTGAGGGGTTTTACAGCCTTAAAACATCTATAATAATTGTAAAAAATAAAGTTGGCTACTTTGCGGATTTCACCTATCACGGATTATTTTTAGGACGCGATAAACAAGGGACCACTGTACTCCTATATTTATTTTTATATTTTTGTATTCAATGCACTTATCTCTCTGTCACAAGAGCTAGACCTCCAATGTGTCAAAAAGGTGATTCTTCAACGTGATTTTTTATTTTCAGGTAGAGGATGAAGTTACAGGATGGGACATCTTACAAACAAATAAATAAATAAATATAAAAAAATAAATGATGAACATGCCTCTGGTTTGGCTTCATCTTTGCCCTTGGACATTCATCATTATTTAATTGGAACCAGTTGGTTGCAGCTTAGTTTTCAAAAGCCTGAGACAGTCAGTTTTACACTCTGTGCAAGTTTAGCATCTGTGGTGAAATCGCATGCATGCTAAAGGACGGGATTTCTACAGATGACCTAAAAAGAGCAGAAGTGCTCCCTGTGGTCTGCTGGTTCACGAGAAATCGATTTTAAATGAGAAATAAGTCAGGCATGACTGTAACTTTGAAATTCACGTTTAATGATTCTTATCATACATTAGGTCACCGTGTTTCGAGTAACAACCTTTCTTTGAAACAAACAGTCTTCCAATTGGCTAGAGCCCCACATTGTGGCCAACATTTTATAAAACAGAGGCAAGTAAAGGTTTATAGATCTAGTTTTCTGTCAGACTACTAGGACTAAAATATACTGAAAGGTTATTAGGAATTTCTACTGATCTACTGTTAGAGTTCAGTGGTCTGCAGGGAGTACAGTATTGATTTTTCAAAAAGAAATCTGACATCTAAGTCGTACACATCAAACATTCTTTCTGAAGATTTAATTTTTATGCTTGATCTTTCAAGCATCCTGCATTCCTGCAACAACAATCAATGTGTCCTGCCATTTTTTACTCTGTCGCTTTGAGTCAGCCTCTCAAGGTAATGCGGTTAGAGTAAGCATAAAAAAAAAAATCAAATCCTGAGATGGAAGATGGATGACTCTCAATGGTAAACCTGCATGTGTGCTTGATTTTATTTCCATGTACATGTCTGAATTTTATTGTATTGCACTGACGTGAAGTACTGTCTGCATTTAAGGTTTAGAAAATACCATGGTATGTTGTAAGGATGTGTCTTTTATTATTTGTCTGTGTTTCTACGCGCGTGTGTGTGTGTGTGTGTGTCAGCTGGCTCTGCATGTCTGGGCTCGTATCAGTGTCCTAATCCCCAACTCAGCATTAGATGCTAACTGGAAAACTCCCTGCTCATTAGTCACACCAGGATAAGCTGATTGAAACAACGTGCACGCACGCACGCACGCACGCTGTTCTTACACAGCACCTTCTTCCTGTATTTACTGTTGTTGCTCCTGCCCCACACACACACACACACACACACACACACACACACACACATCTGGCCAATGAGCGAACAGTCTCACATGGTTTTTTGAGTGATGCATTTTGGTTCGCTTGGCGTTTACTTGAATGTTTCTCTGTCTGAAAACAAACCAAATAATGGGGAAAGCTACAAGTTTACAAACTCATCAACTGATTTCAACCACAGTAAACAAACTATAGGTGCGAAATCACCGTAAGACTTGGCCTTTAAACTCAGCGCAGCTCAGAGTAATGTGCAATGAAATGATGTGTGTTTTTTAACCCACCTCCGACAGTGCTGAGGAGAAGTGGTTGCAGTTCTTGTGCATGAGGTGGTAGGCGTTGCCTTTGTACTCCTTCCCCATCTCTTCCACGATCCGCTCCACATCCTCTTCTGTGAAGTCTGTGCTTCCTAGGACAATAGCTTCTCTGCAGAGACAAACAGGCAGAAGGTACTGATGTTACTGAAAGAGCATCTTCTGGGAAAGAAATGTTTCTAATCCAATTCTACGTTTTACCATTTTCATTTACTGATATATTCTTTACTGTTTCTGTCAGTGAGTCTGGCTGAGGGCGACTATTTCACTTCGTGTTGGAAAAAGCTGTCTGACAGCAGATAAAATAGTGAAAAATGTTCAACACTGTGTGCATTTAAAACACACTGATTTTTTAAACATTCTATCCGGTACAACCATGTTGCACAATTTTTGAAGAAAACGTTGACATATTTTGTGATTTGCCTTCAGCCAAAAAATAAGTAGTTAACTTTGAGAACATTTTAAAGGTGATCTAAGTTTTTGGCTTTAACATCAAATGAAATTAAAATGAAATTATTATGATTTTAGTATGAGAGAGTGCTTTATTCACTGGGATAGGCCTCAGCTTTGTGGATAATAAGCAGGCATTTGTCACAGATGATCCATATTTGGTTTAGTGGCCTGCTTGGAGACAGTTACTGTGTGTGACAGGCGGAGTCTGTCTAAAGCCACAGGGCAAATCAACTAGAGCAGAAGTAATACTCAGCAGAGTAGGTCTGAGTAGACAAGCACACAAACATACTGAACTGATTTGCTGAAATCAGTTGTCGTGTTTTGTACATTTGGATTCCACATTCCTAAAGAGCATCATGTTGATCTTTTGCAGGATGGAAAAAAACAAAAACAAATCAGAAACACTACACATTTTGCTGCAGTCCACTACAAAAACAGCTTTTAAAAGACAGCTGGTAATATGGTAAAAAGCTGCACTGGTTTGCAGTGTATTTGCAAAACTCAAATTGTTAGACTATACTTGAAAAGTACATCAACAATTATGAATTTTATTTAATTTTATTACAGCCAAACACTGTGTTCAAGCCTAAACGCAATTTAGCCTGGTGAGTTAAATAAAATATTATTGCCCCCCCCCTCAGATGTCATTAAAGTATAAATGATCCATAAAGAAAAATGTCCAACTTTCCAGCAGTAATTTTTTTTTTTTTCTTGAGTGACCATAAAAGGAACTGCAGCCTGCAGTTTGTTAGTGTTACTTTTTCAGCTTCAGCTCGTTCCTCAAAATAAAGTAAAGGGGAAAACTTGCAGTTTCAGTTCAAGATAAATTGAGCTTTTTTCAAATCTCAATCTTCTGTTTTATTCAGTCTTTGACCAAGACCATAGGCCATGAACTGTTACAAAAAGGCATTAAAATGTTTGACACATGTACAGGAGCTCGCTTTACTGTAGGAGAAATACCAAAATTCATTAAACAGCTCAACTAACAGCTGACCAACTGATCAAATGGGTATAAAGAACATGCACATGAAGCTCTAACTTATCTAGGGAACAAATCAGTGCTTTCTAACTTGGCCGATGGCTGATTGACCAAAACAGTCACTATACACGCGTACTGTATGCGCTACCCAGAACCTACCAGCATCTCCACCTAAACCAAACTACTATCAGTAGTCAAAAGACATTTGACACATTGTCTGACTTTCCAAACTGATCACTCTGCTCTACACATAATCTTATTGGGGAAGAATGACCTGAACAATCGGGCATCTAATGAGCAGAATGGACTGAACTGATATTGTCCTTGCACAGCAAACAACCTAAAAGGCTGTTAACGGTTATTAAAACCTACACCAAGTAAGTAATGTTAAGTGACTTCTAATAGCCGTTTAGATAGGTGCCTGCATCATGCCTTTGGGGCGGAACCTGGCACTCTTAACTAAAAAATGTTCTAGCATAAACTTCAAAGTGGTCTCAGTTGTGCCTTGAAGTTCAGCCCCATAGGAACAAAGGATGGCTGTGTTTGTCTTTGTTGTTGTGGGTTGCTGGAACATCTTGCAGCACAGATTTTCTATTTTTCCATGTTTAGAACCATTTCTACAGATTCCCAATAACTTCCCCTCCCTTGTGTGCCAGCTGGCAACCCTTGCAGTTACTCATTTTTCCAAAGATCCTGTGTTGCTTCAACCTACTGAGGTAACTGCGCAGATAAGGGTGGACCCAGATAGATTTATGATACATTCCTCATTGCCATTATTTTACTACCCAGCCCTTGGCGCGTGAACGACTGTCCTCTCGTCACTACTGAGTTTAATAGCTAATAGACTAACAAACTTTTGAGCGGTAACCTGACTGACTCGCCATTTGATTAACATTCTACATTAAACAGGCCAACTCTTTCACCGTAAAAACTCCATCAAGCATGTTGCGAGCTGCCTAGGCTGTTGCGAAAGATATTTAGCAAAACAGAACACATGCATATCTGTACTTGTATGTCTCATATAAACACCAATTATCCCACACTTACTTGAACTTAAAGGTCTCGCCAAGCTCAGTTGCATCACCTGGTGTAATCTCAAAGATCCCTGAGAATGGGTACGGGTGTCCGCCATAGGCAAACTCTAAACACACAAGAACAAATTTGAGCTGCTGATGTAACAAAAGCCATTAGCAGATAACATACAGTTTTATATATACACTATATATAAGTATGTTTAGACATGCCCGGAATGGAAAACAGTGGTGTGTGTATATATCCTGAGCTATAAAAAAAGCATCCTCTCTGTAACACTATCCTTAGGCAAATGACTTGATGTAGGCGGAGTCTTATTTCTGGGCAACCTTACCTCTTCCATAGATCTCAATCCCTGAGTGAAAGACTCCGATGCCCAGAGAGCTGGTGAACTCATTGATCCAGTACTGAAGGCAGAAGGAGAAACACAGAATAACACGTTTGTTAAATTACAGTAAAATAATAATGCATGTTTTCTACACCTATTGATTTAATATATTTAAATTTTTAGTCTACAAAATGTCAACAAAAACAATCCATCACAACTTCCCAACATGAAAGCTTTTCTTGTTAAACTGTTCAAAATGTAAACATATCATAGTAAAGTGAAAGAAAAAGCAACAAGAATCAAATTAAAATATGTGATAAAACAATGTAATATCAAATTTATATGGATATTCTTCAGGAAGAAGACAAAACCTCCCCCTCACTGAGGTAGAAAGAAGGAATGAGGAGTATGCACAGACAGCTCCAGGGCATCTCTAAATCCTTGCTGTTACAGACAGACAGTGAATCATTGCATAACTACAAGTGATAGTTCAATTTTTTTGACCTCTGAAAGACGGGAAATTCCTTCAAAATGTAGCCCCCGCTGCAATAAACCCACAAACGGCAGCTGAAAAGGCAATATGTTTGACATCCTGCAGCTATGCAAACCTTATTACTGAATTGTCATTGTCCTATTGTACCTTGGCATTTATCCAGTCTTCATATCAGAATAATCAAATTCAGCTACAGAACACATTTACAGACTTTTCTGTGGGAATTTATGACCACAGTGCAGATGTTATCCCTGATGCTTACACAAGATTTCTTTGCATGCAGACAATGACAGTCAAGCTGCACAGAAATAAATCAATAACTGCTGCACTAATCTTTGAAACTGCTATCCATCTTTTCTGTAGTATGTCTGCTAAACATTGTGTCTACAAGGTGATTGGGCAGACTGTTGCTAGGCAGAATTTTCACTCAAAAACATTATTTTATCACAAAAGATGGAGCAGAGAAGAGTGTTGGTGAAGCATCTCAGGAAGCTGAATAATAATCTCTAAATCTAATATTTGTTCATACCTCAAACATCTTCCTACTGCTTCACTGTGCCACGTCATCAGTTAATTGATTATTGTCTTGGACCTGATCAATTTTAAAGTTTGATGCTGTTGACGTTTCTTCAAACCAAATCAAGTGCTGATCAGCATGATTAAAACATGCCAAATTTACCAAGAGCAGTTCCTTTCTGCCAGTGCACTGTAACAAAGGTGACAGATTTCTTACCATGCAAATCTGAGACAATTTTTTTTGTAGACAAAGTCTACAAAAAATATACACCTACATAGTCCTGTGAAAAACTAATTCTGATTCTTTTTTTCAGCCATTATGTTGCAGATTTGCTGTTGTGTTTGGGATCGTTGTCCTGTTGTAGGGCCGCCACAAACGATTATTTTGATAGTCGACTAGTCACAGATTATTTTTGCGACTAGTCGACTAATCAGATCATGCATCAATTGGACGTACAACGTACAGCTTATTGCACCAGCATGCATCTGCTCTTGTATAACTATCATTAGCTTACAGCCTTAAGTGTTTAAGGTATGTGCTAACTAAAAAAAAAAAAGACAAGATGATAGTTTATTAAATTTTAATGAAATTTGCAGATTGTTTCGGTGAAGTTTAAGAAACTCAGCCATCTGCTCCTTGCCATCTAAAATATAACAGCACACCGGAGTATATTCTCCAGCAAAATAATTTCCCCTAGGGATCAATAAAGTATTCTGATTCTGATCTCACACTTCTGATGATCAGTTGTCTGCTTGACGTTTATTCAGCTGTGTAAAAACTATAACTTTAATCTCAGCCAAACCGATTTACTCAGGAACAAATAAAATACTGAAAAAAGCCAAACAATAATATTTTAAGTTATTTAAGTGACTTATATATCATGTTTAACCTGAGTAGCGAAAGACGGCGGTGGGTTTGCCGGGAGTCCGGTGTTCTCACCGGCTCTAGTGAGCCTTGAACCCGGGCTAGATATTGAGCTGGTGCGTAACAGACATATCCGAAAACGTCGGAGCGCTTTTGAAAATATGTGGTGTCCTGATAAACTGAGCCGATATTTGAGGTTTACACAGCTACATTCTCGCCTGAAAATATGTTAAACGTTTATTTTGTGACCCAGAAAGAATAATAAGAGTAATATTAAAACTAACTAGCTGCCGCCATTGTTGGAAACTTAGCTGGGCCGCGCTATGAATTCTGGGACACAGCTTCTTCTTCTTCGGGGTTTAAGGGCAGCTGGCATCCTTGTACATGCAGTGCTGTCATCTACTGTTTCAGTCCGTTATTACACGCTTAAATCCTGCTACTTATTCCTGCGTGTTTTGGATGTTACAAAGCTTCAAACGATGCATCGACTATTAAATTGGTAGTCGACGATTTTGATAGTCGACGTAATCGTGACTAGTCAACTAATCGTGGCAGCCCTATCCTGTTGCATGACTTAGTTTTGGCTGAGCTTTAGCTGCTGGACAAATGGGCTCACATTTGATTCTAGAATACTTTGGTATACAGAGGAATTTGTGGTCAACTCGCTGATTCCCAGATCTTACAGCTGCCAAATAAGCCCAAATAATCACCCCTGTGACACCATGCTTGGCAGCTTGCTCCTGGTAACACTTCCAAAAAAGCCATACATGTCTTTTTTCTAACTGTACTGCCATGACCTTTAACAGTTAACTGAGGCCTGCAGAGTCTGAGATGTAGCACTTGGAGTTTTTACAGTTTCTTTGAGCTCTGTGTTATGCTGACCATTTAAAGACATTAATTCTGACATTAGGAATCTGTTTAAATTGATTTTAAGTATTATTTGGATTTGTATATTATATTAGAGCTTTCCATCTTACATATTTGAGGCATTAAATGTGTTTAACCAGAGTGACAATAAACAACTTAATTACTTGAAAATGAGCCCTTTCCCTGGCGGGGCCCCCTTTCCCTGGTAGGTCGCGGAGTATGGGGGTGCCTACTGGGGTCAGCGGGGGAGCTGGCCCCAGGGAGGGGTCACTTGCCCCTCCCCCCTTCCTTCCCTCCCCATCTCCAGCTGCCTCCCTCTTCCCGCTCCACCACAACCACCCACACATGCAGGGCCTTGGAGTAGGGGTATGTCACCAGGGTGCAGAGGAGGCTACCCCCCCCTCTGTCCCCTTCTGGCTGCCTCTGCCTCAATTTTATCCCACAACTTAGACTCACACTCTCATTACACATACATATAGGGTCTTGGGGGTGGGCACGATACACGGAGTCCAAAGTACCATCAGGGTATACACCCCACCCCTGGCATCGTTGCCCACCTCTCAATTTTAAATACACGTAGACATTGAGGGCTAGCAGGAGGGACTATACGCTTACCTGCTGCTCTCTGGCAGGTAGCTCCATGCCCTCCTGGGTTTTAAATGCACCTTAGAACACACATGCATCAACACTACAATGAGCGGGTGGAGGGAGGTTTGGAGTCTTCTCTCACCCCCATTCTCTGCGACCTGCTGGAGCAGGGGGGCTAGGACTAGGAGGAGGAGTTGGCCGTCCGACTGCGGTCTGGAGTGTGGGGCCTTCCTCCTGCTGCGGAGTCGGGGCGGTCTGCCTCCCCCCACCACAGGGAAAAGGGAAACACCACCTGGGTCTGGGTGCAGTTCCCCCCTCCAGGGGCGGGGGCACCTAGACCCGGTTTGTAGAGTACGCTTGGGGAGTGTGATCGTGTGTACAACGTCTCTTTATGTCTGTCTCCACGTTGGTTGAGTGTGGAGTAAGTGCATATGAGAGCATGAGGGTGGGAATGGATGTTGTATCTGTGTGTGCCTGTATGTCTGTGTCTATATGTCAGGTTGGGTGTGAGGCGCCACCTCTCTGGGGACATCTCAGGCCCTCCAAGGTTTGGAGGCCTATCTCCCCCTACCACCACTTCCCCTGCCAGTGGCAGACCCCCTCAGACATCGGTGCGTTGGTGGTTCTTTGTGTCCGGGGATGGGCGTCCAGGTACACACCGGCTCACTCCTTGGCGGCCGCTTATCGGGGCCTGGAGCCTGGGGCTCGCTCGGGCCACTTCGGAGGTGGGGTGCCCCCGGCCTCTCGGCCTGGGGCTCGGTCACTCAGGCGCAGCTGGCTGCCGGCGGAGCTCACGGGCGCGTCACTGCAACTCCCCCTGGCTTCTGCTCCGCGGCTGCTGAGTGAGCCCTCATCTGGGACTCTCCTCAGCTCTTTCCGGGACAGTGGCGCAGCTGCCCCTCTGGTGGTCTTCCTTGGTCTCTTGTGTTCTGGGGGCCTCTGGATGTCTGGAGTTTTGATCTCCTCCACACCTGCTTCATGCCCTGGAGGACGGGGCTGTGGCCCCCCCACACCCTCTAGCAGATTATTACATGAAGGAACCTTTTAAAAAACAAGCGCGTCCATGCTCAAAGGTGTACACACGGGTGATCACACCCACAAACTACACCCTTTTTGGCTCCTACCTCAAAGCACACTGTGTTCTGTTGATCTTATGTGCTGCACAATAATGTTTAACATTTAGTATTTACTGTCATATTCCCATATATCATTGTGATGTTGTTTATTCTATTACTCTTGTTCTCTTCTGCTTGTTTTCTTTTTTCTTTCTCAGCAGGTGATCCAGGTGATCGATATGCATTTTTTTTTTCTCTGCCCGTTCTGTTGGTTTTTGTTTTTTGCCCTTCTCCCCCGTCCCTCTTCTCAGCTGTTTCTCTTTCCCTCTTTCTTTCTCCCCTTCTTTCCCCCAGTCAAGTCTGTCCCGTATTCAGTAAGTGAAAATAAAATAAACAATAAAAGGTGAATCAAATGGACCATTACGGCAAGGCTGGGATGGTCAGTTTGGTAAAGTAAATCCGTTGGGCATCTTTCTTTGCCTTTAGACAACAATTCTGATGGCAAAAGAGCCAAACAGGACAGGCCAAAAAAAAAAAAAAAAAAAGAATCTGTTTAAATTGATTTTAAGTATTATTTGGATTTGTATATTATATTAGAGCTTTCCATCTTACATATTTGAGGCATTAAATGTGTTTAACCAGAGTGACAATAAACAACTTAATTACTTGAAAATGACATATTTTATTAGTGTGTA